GAAGTTCTTAAAAGTTCCTCTCTGCTCCCCGGCACCTAAGGATATTCTCCTTCATATACTTTCAATAGCTTTCTTTTTCACTTTCACATTTAAGTATTAAACTTCACAGCTCATTCTACTGTGCAGCCCATGTTAAGAACGACAGTAATAAAGTGTTTTGAAAACTTTTGTATCTGATTCTATCTCTGATATGTTTTTTTGTGGAACCTTCCAGTCATCTCCATCCCCATCCCAACTCAGTTCTTGCCCCAGCACTCACAGATCTGAATTTCCTTCAGCATTTGGTAGAAGCAGGAATCTTTCAGGCCATATCTCCTCTTCTAGGAATGGAACCTTGATCTGGTCAGAGACAGAACTCAGATCTGGACAGCCAAAGGACTAGAGGGGGCCATTCTGTGTACATGAACTTATCAGGCAGAGAGAAAGATCTGGCTACGGGCCCGTTCAGTCTGAATATCCCAAATAAGTGAGGGGCTTCTTTTTCATCAACTGAGATTCTGGGGAGAGTTGTCCTCAGACCCACTTTGCATGTCTGCTACAGCTGACACCACCTTCTCACATTGTGGCGCTTCTTCTGGTTACCTGAGGGATGTGTCACACACTGGCGTTCAGTACTGTTACATAAATTAATTATATTCCAACCTGTGCTTCAGGATTCCATTTCAGCTCTGTCTTCTCCAGAGACTCAAAATTTCCCATCTGGGAGCTTTTTTCAGGGACTCTTTAGTTCTCCATGACAACCTTTAGCACGACTAACTGAGGGTAGTGAGCAGACAAATGATGTTAGAATTACCTAGGAGTGCTTGGTAAAATTAAGATTCTTGGGGTCCACCCTATATCTCTTTAGTTAGGATCATTACAAGAGGAGTTCTGGAATCTTCATTTGTAATAAGTCTCCCCGGAGGATACTTTTGGCCTCAAGGATTAGACTGTCCACTGTAACAAGAACGGGCTTATCAGGGAAGAACTTGGAGCCCCCGGGCGGTGTCTTACCGTCTGTGTAGCCTGCACCGAGCTCAGTGTGTTCCTTTGACGGACATGCTGGTCTGTAAAGTTAAAGCATTTCATCATTAAAATCAAAGTCACCAAATTGAACTGCTCTGTGTCCACCAGAGATTTCCAGATTTACTCCCAAGGCGAGCTCGTTTTAATATAACGTCCCTTGGACCCCGGCGCTGTTGCCTCCCATGCTTCAGCGGGTCTGGAGCGGAGGCTTGAATTCAGCAGGCAAAACAATGATCTCTTTAGGAAAAATTGGGACAGCGCCTTTGGTGAAGCCGAGGTAGTAGGTGGCGCTAATGCGGTGATTTCTCTTACTCTCTGCCTCCCTCCCCGTTCTCGTATTTCTTTTCCTATCAAGTGAAAAAAAAATTTATCTGGAAGTTAAGAAGTGATCTTATGAGGGGAGTTCGAAAAAAGTGGGCGCTTTCTGAAAGCACAGAAAGCATGCTGTATTTTCTCTATCATAATCCCCCTCATATTTTAATACAATTCCACAAAAACAAATAATTCAGCATTTTCTTAATGCTCAGCGCAAATACATTGGTTCTAATAAAAAAATAATTGCGTAAAGTAGGAGCCCAGTCACCGGGATGGCCGAGTGGTTAAGGCGTTGGACTTAAGATCCAATGGGCTAGTGCCCGCGTGGGTTCGAACCCCACTCTCGGTAGATTAAGTTTTCCTCTCCAGAATCATTCGTGAGAAAATACCACCCTTTTTCTATCCGTTTGCGAAAACGTTACGCTGCTTTTTTGTCTTCAAGCCCAAAGAAATTGCCTCAGCAGGCAGTAATAAGAGCGTGAATTATTTTCCACCACGGTCCTATCAGATTGCTAAAATAAGAAACAACCCAGCAGTCTGCCTAATGAGATTTTAATACTCCAGGCCTTTCACTTCCAAGAATGGTAACCTGGTGGCCATTTGTCCCTCAGGCAACACAAAAGAAGCTCTAACTCTCTGTAGCCCCCAGGAAGTGAGAACCACCCGCGGGGGGATTCTCTTTGTTTCCAAATTGCTGTATTCAGAAAAGTACAACCCTGCCCAGGCTGTCCCTCCAACTCACTCTGGAAAGCATGGTTGAATCCTCCTCAGCAGAATGTGAGGTTTTTTGTTTTGTTTTTTCCATTGTGACTTGTAAAAATGGTCCCTTAGTGGAGTTTTATTTGCATTTCTCTGGTTGTACTTTTGTTGAGCATCTTTTTATGTCAAAGAGCCATCTGTATTTCCTTCTCTGTGAACTGCTTATTAATATCCTTTATTCATTTTTCTACTTAGTTGTTAGGTCTTTCTCTTACTATTTGCAGGAACTCTTTAAATGTGAGTCAATTAAACCTTGTTTTGATATGTCACAAGTAGTCCAGTTTGTTATTTGCTTTAGAATTTTGTGGTAATTTTGAACATGTACACTTTGGGCTATGCAGTTGAATTTATCAGCCTTTTCTTCTGGTTTTACGTCTGACTTAGATATGCCTTTCCCCACTACAAGATCAACAAGAGTAACAAAAGAACTCTATGATTTCTTCTAGAATGTCCATGATTTTTTTAATATTTAGATCTTTGATTTATTTGATTTTTTCCGTGTTTAATATGCGAGGTATAGATCCAATGCTACTTTAGTTCCAGAGGGCCACCAATAATCCCAACGCCGTTACTGAAGAGCCACATTCTGCCCATCAGTTGAAATGCCAGCAGACTAAATTCTGTTCTAGTTAAAATCCAGAGAAGCAGAAGCCTGGCATCTTTAGGATGATTTGAAAGAGCGTGGACTTTGGAACTCAACAATCAAATGTTCTAATTCCGACTTTCCCGCTGACTCTCTGAGCCTTGATTTCTTCATTTGTTAAATGCAGATAATAATCCCTACCCCATGGAAGGCAGTTGTAAGGTTTAAAGTATCTATCTATGTATCCATCTATATCTATGGAGAGGCAAGATTCATCCCTACCAAAGGTGGGTTTTCTTATCTTTGTTTCTTGGACGGGGTAGAGAGAGGATGCGTGGTGGTTTGTCTCTTCTGAAATGAGACGACAAAGATTTTACACAAATTGGAACTTTCTAAAGAGAAAACACAGCAGTCTCTTAGTGGTCAGTTAGCAACGCTGTTTAGAGTGTAATGCTGATGACACCAATGTCCGGGTTCCATTCCTATAGAAGTTAACTTATGTAGTTTTCCTCACAAGAGAGTCAACTGCAGATCCATGCCCATCTCTGCCACAGGGAAGATCTGAACCTGTTGTATCTGGCACTTGTTTTTATTAAATTCTTCTAATTGTCGGTGATGCTGGCAATTTCTACTTAACTCCAACCTCTGTTGTTGTTTCTTGAGTAGGCAGATTTCTACAATGGCTCCCAAGGTGCCCTTCCACTAGTATATAAGACCTGCACAATCCCTTGGACTGTGAATACAATTAGGGTATGTTATATAGCACAGTCGACTTTCAGAAAGGGAGGTTATCAGGGGTGAGCCTGACCTAATCAGGTGAGCCCTTAAAAGAGATTGGGCTCTTCCTAGAGTCAGAGACAGAAAATGTGAAAGGAATTGAGAGATTTGAAGTGAGGTAGAGTCTCTGTTGCTGGCTCTGAAGATGGAGGGGACCGATGGAATGCAGCTGGCCTCCAGGAGCTGAGAGCACCCAGCTAACAGTCAGTGAGTAAACAGGGATTCCACCATCACCGCGAGAGCTGGAATACAGCACTGTGAAGGATTTTAGCCTTGTTAGATCCTAAGCAGAGAACCCAGCCACCCAGTGCCCAGATTTCTTACCTACAGAACTTTGAGTAGATAAATGGGCATGGTTTTAATCTGCTAAATTGTGATAATGTGTCATACAGCAACAGAAAACTAATAGATTTGTTTTTTTTTTTTAAAGCAAATAACGTAAAATGCAAAGATGGAAACGTTATAGCAGAAAATTGAACTGTGTAGGCTGGGGTGTCAAGTACCTCTGAGGGCCACTCTCCATCTAAATACCTTGCTCTCCCTGTCTTTTTCTTGGGGTCCTGCTGCTGAGGGAACTTCACATGCTTCCTTCCAATAGATATCTGGAAACTGATATTAATTTAGTTTTTAGATTAATATAAGCATATGTTCCCTAAGTGTGTAAGTATAATTTATAAAGAGAGAAGTGTGTACTTGTAGATATTAATTTCACATCTAACACATAAAGTAACAATAGCTACCAGTACATCCCTCAAACTAATTTTTTTGTAGCATGCATCTTGACATTAGGAATGCAGCACTGGGGGAAAAAAACTAAGTCTCTACCCTCCCAGGCTTTCTAGGTAAGGAAGAGACCCACAGCTGTTTTGTCTTTTCAACAGGAAACTGATTCAATATGCTTTACTAGTCTGTTGATTTAAATTTAAACTCATCCAAAAATACCCTCACAGAAACACCCAGAATAATGTTTGACCAAATATCTGGGAACCCCATGGCCCAGTCAAGTTGACAGGTAAAATTAACCATCACACCAGTTTAGTATAAGAGAAAACAAGATTAAAAAATAAGGAAAAACAATTTTCACCAACCTTAGCATAGTAAGAATGAAAGAAACAGATGCAACATGTTTTTCTTGTTTAAATTTTTTTTTTTTTTGCGTGAGCAGGTTATTCACCTGGTTCAAAAATGAGAAAGTATTAAAAGGCATAAGGAAAAGTGTTTGGTGCCTCCTTTCCCTCATCTCCCCAGTTCTCACCAACACCTTTGCTTTAGCTTCTTATGCATCCCTCCTGACTTTTTTTTTATGATACTTGCAAACATGAACATAGTCTTATTTTATCTAACTTTTTTATTGAGATCATAATAGTTTACACCATTGTGAGATTTCAGTTGTACATTATTTCTTGTTTGTCACCACACAAGTGCTCCCCTTCACCCCCTGTGCCCACCCCTCAACCCCCTTCCCCTGGTAACCACTGAGCTGTTTTCTTTGTCCATGTTTATTTTATCTAACTTTTACATAAAATGGAAAATATTTAACCATTATTCTGCAGCTCTTTTCTTCACTTAATATATGTAGGAGATTTCTATTTTATCAGTACTTAGCTTACAAATAGCACTTATGAGTTTTCTTACTGCACAAAAGTGTGACATTTTAAAACAAGTTTACCCATCCAGGAAGGAGCTGAATCTGAAAACTTCTTTTCCATCGCACCTCTAAAGGAGGGAAAGGGAACAAAGTGTAGGTTTATTGGAACTAGAGGGAGGAGGAGAAAAGACATCCTTAATTTTTTTTGCCCTAATGAGGGACAAAACGCTTTTGGCCTAAAGCCATGTGGTATTCCCAGACACCTGAAGTAGGGGCTTGGAAGCAGCTGGTGATAAAGGGAAATTATACATTCATTCAACAAATATTTATTGACCCTTGCTCTTCAGAGTTAATAATTAGCTATCTATTATCTTTCAGTAAAGATGCTTAAGAAATAGCATTAAGTAAAAAACACGTTACAAGAAAGTTTTTAAAAGATGATAATCCCTTTTAAAAATGTACAGATACAGTATATGTATATAAATGTCCAGAAGTAGACACACAACAAAATGTGCTTAACACACATAAAATGTGTTTTGTAACACATAAATTTTCTTTTTTTATTTTTATTTTTCCTTCTTTTCCCCAAAGCCCCCCACTACATAGTTGTATATTTTAGTTGTGGGTCCTTCTAGTTGTGGCATGTGGTACACCACCTCAGCGTGGCTTGATGAGTGGTGCTAGGTCTGCGCCCAGGATCCAAACTGGCAAAACCCTGGGCTGCGGAAGTGGAGCATGTCACCTCAACCACCTGGCCAGTGGGCCAGGCCCATAAATTGTGTTTCTTCTAACACATAAAGTATGTTTATCTTTGGAATGTGGCAATATACATATATTTTTTTCTTAGCCATATATTTTTATGTGTTTTGACAGTAATCCTTGAAAATACTTCTATAATTAAAAAGGGAAAAAAGTAAATTCAGAAATAAAGAGTGAAAAAACAACCAATCAATCCTTGGGATCTTTAAGCCAAAGATACCTCCAGTACAACTGGGGGAAAATGAAGTAAATTATGAAATACTTAAAGTAAAACTTTAAAAAGAATCATTTTCCCTGGTGCTCAGAGTCCCTTACTTGGGACAGGAGTCATCTGACCTTCAGTCCATATTCAGTATTACTGATAAAGAAAGTCAAAACAATATAATATTAGAACAATTAACATTCCAGTTTACTATCAGGATTCTATGAATTTGCTTATCTAGATAGAAAGATTCCTCTGAAGGTCATCACTCCCTGGTAAAAAGATAAATTTGCTCTTAAAAGGCAGTGGAGCACAGTAGTTCAGAACAAGGACCCTGGGGCAGGCTGCCTAAATCCCAGTGAGGCTACCCCTTACCTGAGACCTTCAAAAGGAAAAGTGAGTGGACACATGGACACGGGAGGCCAACAATCTTGTCTCGCAATTCTGGCTTTGCACCTTACTCCCTCTGAGCCACAATGTCTTCATTATTAAAACGGAGCTAATAATCACTACCCCACGGAGCCGTTGTGAGCAGACACATACACATACACGCACATACACACATACACAGTGCCTGGTAAACAGCAAGTGCTCAATAAATATCAGTTTCCTTGCTCCTTAAAGAAAACCGTTCTCTTCCTTTATAAACTATCCCTAATGAAAATGTTTCTGTCTACTTTCTGTAGCTTTTAAAATATTCTAGACATTCATTTCTCACTTATCTAAAAAGTCTGTATCATCTCAGCAACACTTGTATCAAATAGTCTTTAGATAGTCTCATTGGAACAAGCAATGTTTCACCCTAGAATCTTGGGCATAAGCCTCAGTCACGAGGTCCAACTTCCGTCTCTAGGATGCCCATGCTGTCCTTTTTCACCGCAATGGTTTTATATGTAGTAGGGCCAAATGGTTAGTCTTCTGGTGACATCAGATGATCGGATACCAGAGTGAGGAAGACCTCTCCACCAAACGTAGAGACTATGCCCACCAGAAACATTTGCTGCAATGACATTGTGGGAAAAAACTACCAGTCACAACACTTCCAGAGAGAAGAGGATTTTTATCAAAACTCAAATGTCACAGATAGGGAAGGAGCATGTAATAGACAAGGAAACACCCCTACAGAATAGGAGGACCAGCAAGGGTATATTTGTAGAGATAATGGAAATAGGCACCTACATACTTTAGGAGCCAAAACAAAAGGCTGCTGATCTGTTTCTCCTTCAAACACACAAACAATTCTCCTCTTCACTTTTCTCTGCCATGAAACACACCCATGGTCCTGGGCTCTAGAAACAGAACAAGGGGAAGAAGTCAGTTCTTTCCAGAAAATGCGACACTGCACTTGGAATAAATGTGGGTGGCTGAAATCTCCAGTTATGCATGGAGAGTCCTCTTCATTGCGCTCACTCTTTCTGCTTGGTTTTAGGCTCAGTTTTGTCTCTTCTGATAGGATGGTATCCATATGGCTTGGCTGAGATTTTAAAACTCAGACAGATCCAAAACACGGGGATTTGCAAAGGCAGAAGGCTCCTAAGAAATTAATGATACTGATGATTCTGGGGAGGACAATCTCTATGTTTCAAAGAGTTTAACAGGACCCAGAGACTAAAGTGTGAGTTGCCCACATAAATTTTTACTATTACCCTACAACACATTGTCCCAGCTGACTTCCTGGGCATGCGACTTGGGCAGTTGCACAGGGTCCTGCCATCAGAAGAGACTTCCACTTGGTGTAATGCTCTCCTGTCATTGTCTCCATGTTGTTAATAAATTTTGAACTAGAGGTTCACATTTTCATTTTGCACTGGGCCTCACAAATTATGCAACAGGTCCTTTCACCAACGAATTGCCCCAAGCAACTCAAAGGAGGTTTCAGAAGCACTTAACCGTTTCTCCAAATTGTTTTTTTAGTTATGTTAAGAGATGCAATCACCAACCTCTCTGAACAGGTCAAACTCCACCACAAGAGCTATGCCTGCCCAGACAGGCTGAGAAATGCTCAAGAGATGACCTTTGCTTCATTTCAATGTTAAGATCTCTGCCCCAGGAGGAGCTTAGGCCTTATTACCATAACATGTGAAGTATGTGGAAGCATGTTTTCCAACTGACCCTGCACAAGCGAATATCCACCTCCCTCTTTTGAATATTCATTCCTCATCTGACCTAAATGGCCCCTGCTTTCCCTTGCTTGGCTTTGGAAATGATTCCCAATGGTTTCTATTTGCTGCAAATAAATATTACTTTGTGTGACCAGTACTTCTGGTGAAGGCTTTGATTTCAACTCATAAGAAGCGGACCCACTGTAGTTCGGTAACAGCCCTACACATTGTCTTCTATTTTCTATTGTCAATAAAAAGATGGGGCTGGCCTGGTGGCGCAGTGGTTAGGTGCACACGTTCCACTTCAGCGGCCCGGGGTTCACCAGTTCAGATCCTAGGTGCAGACATGGCACTGCTTGGTAAGCCATAAAGAATTAACACCAATCCCTTGCATACCCTTCCAAAAAACTGAAGAGGACAGAACACTCCCAAACTCATTTTATAAGGCCATTTTATAAGGCCTGATACCAAAGCCACACAAAGACACCAAAATAAAACTATAGGCCAATATCCTTGATGAAAATATATGCAAAAATCCTCAACAAAATGCTAGCAAATTGAATCCTACAGCATATTAAAAGCATAATATACTATGACCAAGCAGGATTTATCCCAGGGGTACAAGGATATACATCATCATCAATAACTCTCAACGACTGTTCAATTAATTTAATACACCATATTAATAGAATAAATGATAAAAATCACATGATCATGGGGCCGGCCCCATGGCCAAGTGGTTAAGTTTGCACACTCCTCTTCGGTGGCCCACAGTTTCGCCAGTTTGGATCCTGGGCGCAGACATGGTACTGCTCGTCAGGCCATGCTGAGGCAGTGTCCCACACAGCATAGCCAGAAGGACCTATGACCAGAATATACAACCATGTACTGGGGGCGCTTTGGGGAGACAAAAAAGAAAAAATACAAAAGAAGAATATTGGCAACAGATGTTAGCTCAGGCGTCAATCTTCAAAAAAAAAAATCACATGATCATCTTAATAGGTGTAGAAAAAGCATTTGAGAGTTTTCAGGATAAAAACTCTCAACAAACAAGGTATAGAAGGAATGTACCTGAACATAATAAAGACCACATGTGAGCCCACAGCTAACACCATTCTCAATGGTGAATAATTGGAAGCTTTTCCTTTAAGATCAGGAACAAGGCAAGGATGCCCATTCTCTCCACTTCTATTCAACATAGTACTGGAAGTCCCAGTCAGAGGACTCAGGCAAGAAAAAGAAAAGAAAGGCATTCAAACCAGAAAAAAAAAAAAAGGTAAAATTGTTCCTGTTTACAGATGTGATGACATGACTTACACAGAGAAAACTTAAGACTCCATAAAAAAACTATTAGAACTGATAAATGAATTCAGTAAAATTGCAGGATAAAAAAATCAGCCAACAAAAATCAGTTGTGCCTCTATAAACTAGCAATGAACTATCCAAAAAGGAAATTTGGAGAACAATCCCATTTACAACAGTACAAAAAAGAATAAAATGGGGCTGGCCCAGTGGTGTAGGGGTTAAGCTCACGCTCCTCTTCGGTGGCCCAGGGTTCATAGGTTTGGATCCCAGGCCCAGACCCACACACCACCCACCAAACCCATGCTGTGGTGGCATCACACATACAAAATAGAGGAGGACTGGCACAGATGTTAGCTCAGGGCCACTATCCCTCAAGCAAAAAGAGGAAGACTGACCACAGATGTCAGCTCAGGGCCAGTCTTTTTCACACACACACACACACAAAAGAATAAAATACTTAGGAATAAATTTAACTAAGGAGATAAAACACTTGTACAATAAAAACTATAAAACACTGGTTAAACAAATTAAAGAAGTCACAAAGAGAAAGACTTTCTGTTTTCATTGAGTAGAAGTCTTAACACTGTTAAAATGTCCACACCAAAGAAATCTACAGATTCAATGTAATCCCTATCAAAATCCCAATGGCATCTTTTACAGAAATAGAAAAAAATATTCTAAAATTCTTATGGCAGCACAAAGGACTCCAAATAGTCAATCAATCTTGAAAAAGAACAAAGCCAGGGGCATCACCCTTCCTGATTTCAAAATATATTACAGAGCTACAGTAATCAAACGAGTATAGTACTGGCATAAAAACATACAGACCGATGAAACAGAGTGGAGAACCCAGAAATAAACCCACACATCTACGGTCAACTGGTCTTCCACAAGGATGCCAAGAATACACAATGGAGAAAGAATAATCACTTCAATAACTGGTGATGGGAAAACTGGATATCCACATGTAAAAGAATAAAATTGGACCCTTATCTTACATCATACATTAAAAACAATCAAAATATACTAAAGACTCAAATGTAAGATCTGAAAGTGTAAAACCGCTAGAAGAAAACACAGGAAGAAAGCCTGATGATATTGGTCTTGGCAATGATTTCATGGATGTGACACCGAAAGCACAGGCAACAATAGCAAAAACAGACAAGTGTGACTACATCAAATGAAAAAGCACGGTAAAGGAAACAACAGAATGAAAAGGCAACCCATGGAACGAGAGAAAATATTTGCAAAGCGTATATCTGATAAGGGGTTAATTCTCAAAATATATAAGGCAACTCCTACAACTCAACAGCAAAAAACAAAAAATCTAATAGCCCCATTAAAAAGTGGGCTAAAATGCCAACCCCAGTGGCCTACTGGTTAAGTTTGGCATATCCTACTTTGGTGGCCCAGGTTCAGTTCCCAGGTGGAAACCTGTACCACTCATCTGTCAGTGGTCATGCTGTGGCAGCAGCTCAGACACAAAATAGAGGAAGATTGGCAACAGATGTTGTTAGCTCAGGGCAAATCTTCCTCAGCAAAAAGAGAAGAAAATAGGCTAAAGAATTGAATAAATATTTCTCCAAGGAAGACATATAAATGGTACACAGGTGTATGAAAAGATACTCAATATCACTAACCATCAGGGGAATGCAAATCAAAACCACAACAAGATGTCACCTCATACCTGTTAGGAGGGCTATTACCCAAAAAACCCCACAAGTGATGGTGAGGTGTGGAGAAATGGAACCCTCGCACCCTGTTGGCAGGAATGACATGGTGCAACTGCTATGGAAAACAGTATGGAGGGTCCTCAAAAAATTAAAAATAGAACTACTGTATTCTAGCAATTCCACTTGTAGAGATTTTCCCAAAAGAAATGAAATCAGGATCTGGTAGAGACAGCATTCCCACGTTCATTACAACACCATTACAATAGCCAAGATGTAGATACAGCCTATAGTTCATCAACTGGATAAAGAAAATGTAGTATATACATACAATGTAATATTATTCATCCTTTAAAATATGAAATTCTGCAATATTCGACTATATGAATGAACTTTGAGGATATTATGCTAAGTGAAATAAGCCAGTTACAGAAGGACAAATATTGCATGATTCCACTTATTTGAGATATCTAATATAGTCAAATTCATAGAATTAAAGAATGAAATGGTGGTTGTCAGGGGTTGGGGGAGGGGGAAATGGGGAGTTATTAATCAATAGGGATAGTTTTAGTCAAAGAAGATGAATAGGGGGCTGGCCTGGTGGCGCAGCGGTTAAGTGCGCACGTTCTGCTTTGGCAGCCCTGGGTTCACTGGTTCAGATCCCAGGTGCAGACATGGCACCAAGTGGCAAGCCATGCTGTGCTAGGCATCCCACATATAAAGCAGAGGAAGATGGGCACGGATGTTAGCTCAGGGCCAGCCTTCCTCAGCAGAAAAGAGGAGGATTGGTGGCAGATGTTAGCTCAGGGCTAATCTTCCTCAAAAAAAAAAAGAAGAAGAAGAAGTTCTAGAGATCTGTTGTCCAACATTGTACCTCCAGTCAACAATAAAGTATTGTACATTTAAACATTTGTTAAGAGGATACATCTCATGTTAAGTGTTCTTTCCACAAGAAAAAAAGAAAAAGAGAAATGGATCAGTATAGTTATGGATGAGAGAAGGAAAGCAACTTAGTCCAGACACAGAAAATGCTACAGGAGGATGTGAAGGCAGAGAAGAAACAGGCTCAATACCTGTGATTCTAACTTCACTTCCCCAGTGCTGTGTACACAGAAACACCATTCTGGGATTGCGGCCAAATAGTCCCAAAGCAGCATAGAGGTTCATCTTTCGAAACTCGAGAACTTGGCTGTGACTATTGCTACCAGGACAAGTTTTCTACTGAATTTAGGAAGTATCCAGGATAATTGAGTATTTATCTGAAAATACGTGAAGAAAAGGTTAAAGATGACCCAAGGCATCAAATACATGTCTCTCAGGCACGTATATTGACACTGCGAGCACCAACAATTTGGGATTTGCAGCTTAGTTCCACATTCTTATACCTACTTCCTGAGTGAGAAACTGAAACTAAGGTAATCTGTTTGTTTAAGTTGACATAGGACATGACAGTGGTGATTCTAAGAGCTATCTCTTAGTATCCTTTAGTTTTCAAACTGGGGTATGCGTATCCCTGAGAATACAGACAGTTTCAAGGGAATCCATTTCCTGATCTTGCACTTCCACAGGGACTCACTTGTGGCTGATCTGCCAGTAAACTTTCTGCTTTCCCACCTCCTCTTTTGTCACAACTCTTTTCTCATTAAGGAAAAAGGAGATAACTCTCAACCATCCCATATCTTATCGTTCATCTTGCCCCAAGATGCAAAACCTCCTTGAAGCATCTGACAACAGGACCCTAAAATAAGATGTCAGTGATAAAGTGAATGGCTTAAATGACTGGGTAACAAAATCTTATGCAACCCAGGTGGCTTCTGTTTATTACATTTGCTTTACACAAAAGTGAAAGAGGTTCTAACCCAGTTGTCAGTAATAGATTAACAAAACTTTTTTTTAATGATATATAATGTGATTTTGGCGTTAATACAGGAGTTAGAAAAATTAGAATTGCATTCCTATTTCAAAACTCCTTTATTTTTCTTTTCTTTTTTTTTTCTGAGGAAGATTTGCCCTGTGCTAACATCCATGCCAATCTTCTTCTATTTTTTAGTATGTGGGCCACCAGCACAGCATGGCTCCTAACAGAGCAGTGTAGGTCTGTCCCTAGGAACCAAACCCAGGCCGCCAAAGCAGAGCACCAGTGGAGCTGGCCCTAATTCCTCTTTTTTATGTGAATATAATCTCTCATATCTATAATGAAAAACAGACATAAAATTGATGTTGAACTTGTCTCATTCTTGCAACAAGGAACATTCATCCATGGATACATGAATCAATTGGAAAATCTTAAGTCCCATCCATCTCATTAAGAGATGGATTTCCAATTCGATTTTAGTTTGTATGTCTACTAACTTATCAAAATATATAATACAGTCACAATTATTTGATTGTATACTTATAACTCTTAAAGCTATATGATCACTGGAAATTTTTTAAAAATTAAGTTCAATGTTCGTACTTTTTGCTGCAGAGAAGAACAACAGGGTAGATCAAAACAGGCGTGTTACAATAGGATGTATTTTTGTTGGTAGGGGAATGAAAATACGAGTTCAAGAGAAGGACATAAAATTTCAAATGTTAAAGAAAATTTACTTTTTTAAATGGACGGTCCATTTACAAAATAATCACTATGGTATTTAGATTCATTTAGAAGAGTGATGAACACATTTTAAAATGTCACAATTTACAATGTACTGGAAATAATTCTTTACAACTGTTTGAACTTATGTGAAATTTTTAGATATCGATCTAAAAATGTGCAAGGGGGTACATAATTTTTCAAAGGAGTACGCTTTCAAATTTTGAAGACTGCTGCTCTAGAGTAGGCGTTCTTAACATGTGGCATGACTTTACAGACAGCTTTAGGAGTTAGTCTTACTAGTTGTGTAACATTGGGCAAGCGACTCAAGACTCAGCTCAGTCTACCTTACATGTAAAATAGGGATAGCAACAATACCTCACCTACAGATAAAGCTGTCAAACTTTAGCATGTATCAGAATCGCCTGCAGGGTTTCTTAAAACAGATTACTGGGCCCCCACTCCCAGAGTTTCTGATTCAGGAGGTGTGGAGCCGGACCCTAAATCTGTATTCCTAACAAAGTTCCAGGTGATGCTAATGCTGCTGGCTCACTTTGAGAACCTTAGGCCTATCTCATAAGGTCGTTGTGAGGATTTAAAAAGTTAGTACATAAAGTGCTTAGAACTACACTGGCCCATGATAGGTGCTAATACATATTAGCCAGGATAATCAGTTAGGATGGTACTCACTGCAACAGAAAATTCAACTCCAGTGGGTTAAACAGAAAGGAGTTAATATATGTTATTTAACCAAAAATCCTGAGGTAAATCATCCAAGGTTGGCACCACTGTCCAAGAATGTCATGAAGTTCTCAGGCTCCTTCTACCTTCTTGCTCTTTATTCTGTGGCTTTCATCATTATGATGCATAATAGCTGCTGCTCCTCCAGGAATCTCGTCTGCATTCCAGATAGGAAGAGAAAAGGGCAAACAAGTACAGGGTAAAGAGTTGATGGAGCAGGCCAGCCAAGTCACACCCTCCTCTTTTATAAAGATTTTATTTTTTTAGAAATAAATATTTCCAGAAGCCCCTCAAAGTGACTTTCACTTGAATCCCAGAGGTCAGACCCAGGTCACATGCCGCCCCCAATACGAGAGAGTCAGGAAAGGGAAGGATTTTTGTGTCTCTAACTACCATGGAGGAGGAAATCAAAGGAGAAGGACATTTGGGATAAAGAATAGACAGCATCTGCCTAAGGTATCCATGAACACCCGGAACTCATACCAACTATCAAGTGGATGTGTATTTTTCTGAGCCTTCATGAAATTTTTAGAGTCCAAAAACCAGGGCTCTCAAGCCCACATTTCTTGACTCAGTCCAAATATTTTAACAAAAACGATGTCCGTTCTCCTGCACACTCTTTCTCAGCCATCACATGAAATCATAAAGCCTGAGAGCATGGAAGCCTCTTAATTGCTGTCTCCCTTTCTTTTTTTAAAGATTCTACTAAACTTGTGAATGCTGCTTATATTATTTAAACACTCGTTTACAAGTAGCCCTACAGGGTATTTTGTGGTGTGTGTATATGTTTTAATGTAATGTCCCAAATAGAACATATACTTCTTTAAAAAAAGGCTTTGTATATTTTTTTCCTGTTTTATTTGCATAAAGTTGGGGAACAAGGAGCATTAACTAGAAATTAAACGCCTCTGTCCTGAATTTCAGGCTGGCGTTAATCATTAGAGATTTGAGTTCCCTGACAAAAGAAACTGGATGGATATTTAAAGAACAGAGGCAGGACTGGATTTTTTTTCTGAGCGTTAGAAAGACTGCTTAATTCAGGACTATAACCTAAACCCTGAGGGATCTGCATTCTTCAACATATCACTTTCATTTAATTGGAAGAAGGAAGGCCTATGGACAGAAATGTTTGCTTTATCCTGTTCCTGAAAACACTTAGATCAAAGTATTCATTCTAAAGTGTCAGCTGATCAGTGGGTACAACAGGTTAGGGAATGAGTTCTGAAATTATTAATGTATTAAAATAGAGAAAGTTTAAAGATATTTAAAAATGGCGCAAAGCTTCATATTCTGGAAAAAGTAAATTTAGAAAGTGAACATCTGCTAGAAGGCTCACTTCCTATAGCAGAGGAGTCAAGAGCTTGGTGGAAAGAGCCTCACCACCTACAAACTGGCCAAGAGGATGCTCCAGTGTGCAGAGAAAAAGCGATTTACAAGAAACAAGGGACATTTTTTAATTAATGAGCTAACAACTTATAAAGTCAAGCTTTAAATGAAATTCAGTTTGGTTTTGTCCTAACAATGTTATACGTAACATAGTTCCGTGCCAAGCTTTCTATGTTAGATCATTTTTATTTTTGAATATGCAACCCAAGCTTTCTTCTGTAGCTGAGACATCCTGACTCTCAACAGCAGATGTCCTAGTTCTCTTATCTGGGCCTTAACCTAGTTATGGTTTAAGAAAATTCAGAAAAGGTAAATGTCCACTTTCGAGGCTCTTTGATGAGAAATAAAAATTTTTTGAAACTTGAAATCCCACTGATCCAGTTGATAGTCTCAGTTTTTGGCATCTCTGCTCTTTAACTATCAGAATAGAGCAGCAGTTGGCAAATTTATTTGGGGCTGTCATAAAACCATGTTACCATTAATATGAACAGTTTCCTTAAATATGGATCCTCTGGTGTCAAATGAGATGTGAACTCTGGTTGGATACTTTCTCAACTAGTCACATTCACAAGTTCCCTTATTAGGTATTATGGGTTGACCTGAGTTCCCCCAAAATTCATACATTTGAGTCCTAACCCTCAGAACCTCAGAGTGTGACCCTTATTTGGAGAGAGGGTCTTTACAGAAGCAAAATGAGGAAAAGTTAAAGTGAGGTCATTGGGATAGGCCCTAATGCAATATGACCACTGTCCTTATAAAAAGGAGAAAGATGAAAACAGAGACACGCATAGAGGGAAGACGATGTGAAGAGACGTGGGGAGAGGATGGCCATCTACAAGTCGAGAGAGACCTGAAACAGACCTTTCCCTCACAGCCCTCAGAAGGAATCAACCCTGCTGACGCTCTGATTTTGGATTTCCAGCCTCCAGAACCGTGAGACAATACACTTCTGCTGTTTAAGCCACCCGGTTGTGGTGCTTTGTTACAGCAGCCCTAGCAAACTCTACAGCAGGGAGTCTCTGACGTCGAACAAAAGTTTTCTCTCACTCCTCATATTCTCTCTTCTTGCCTCATGCAAGGACACTGTTATACAAGAAAGGCTGGGCTGTGGCTGAAAATTTTCACACTTACAAACACAGAGTGTGAGCAAAAGTGTTGTGTGCTACTTTCATTCTGTCATGTTGCTGAAAAGACGTTGCTTTGTCACAATATTTTCTTTCCCTTTCCTACAGGCTGTGATTCAGTTTTGCCCATGTGGACAAGGACAACGCTCTGGAGACTGCAGAGCAGTGAGAAAAGCACAGGCCCCTGGAGAACTTTTCGGAGAAGAGCTTCCAGAAGGCTGTGCCTTGCCTTTCAGAAGGACATTCACATGATAAATAAATTTGCTATCTTGCTTAAACCCTTGTTACTTTTTCTTTGGTGTACAAATCATACAAACAACCTAACTAATCTATGAAAGACAACAGAATAAGGGGCTGATAAACAAGGAGGTGGCCAAAGTTTAACTCACTTACCTAGATTATTCCAAGAGTCTCTTAACTGATTTTATTGCTTTTGGTCTTGCCCCTCTTCAACACATCCTCCACACTATAACTATAAAGTAATCGTTCTAACGTATAAACCTGGTTATGCTATGTTCTCATTTAAAAGCACTGCCTAGAGTTGTACCGTCCAAAATGGTGGCCACTAGCCATATGGAGCTAATAAAAGCAATAAAAATTCAATAAAATAAACTCAGTAGTGCTAGCCACATTTCACATGTTCAGTAGCCACATGTGGCTAGTGATTACCATGGTGGACAACACAGATGTAGGACATTTCCATCATTATACACAGTTCTATTGGATGGCATTGGCCTGGAAGATGCACGTCTAAGTCCCCCACACAATCTGTAAATGCTTTCTCTCTCCAGACTTACCTGCTCTTACTATGTACTTTAGCTAAGGTCACCAGGCTATTTCTCAGCGTGAATTTGTTTATAATCCTGCTGCCTGGAAATTCTCTCTCCTCCACATTGTCCACCTGGAAAACAACAATTCATTTTTTAAGTGTTACCTTCTCTATACACATATACCCAAAAAAACCCTAGAGGCATTGAAAGCAGAATTAATTCTGAGCATACTTTCTCTTTTATCTACAATACCCGCAAAAAATAGAAGATCCAGGAGGTTCTTTTTTTTTTTTTTTTTAAAGATTTTATCTTTTTTCCTTTTTCTCCCCAAAGCCCCCGGTACATACTCTTAGTTGTGGCATGTGGGATGCTGCCTCAGCATGGCTTGACGAGCGGTGCCATGTCCGCGATTCTAACTGGCAATCCGAAACGGCGAAGCCTTGGGCCACCGCAGCGGAGCACGCGTACTTAACCACTCAGACACGGGCCCACCCCATAGGAGGTTCTTTAAACAAAAAAAAAGGGGCTGGCTCCATGGCTGAGTGGTTAAGTTTGCGTGCTCCCCTTCAGTGGCTTGGAGTTTGCCATTTCGGATCCTGGACGTTGACCTGCACACCGCTCATCAAGCCATGCTTTGGCGGCATCCCACATAAAAGAACTAGAATGACTTGAAACTAGGATATACAATGATGTACTGGGGCTTTGGCGAGAAAAAAAGAAAAAGAGGAAGACTGGCAACAGATGTTAGCTGAAGGCCAATCTTCCTCACACACACACAAAAATTTCACAACCCAACAAACAACTTGATTAAAAAATGGACAAAGGACTTGAACAGACATTTCTCCAAAGAAGATACACAAATAACCAATAAGAACATGTAAAGATGCTCAACATCACTAATCATCAGACATATGCAAATCAAACCCACAATTGTATCACCTCACACCCATTAGGATGTCTACTATCAAAAAAACAGAAAATAAATATTGGTGAGGAGGAGGAGAAATTGGAACCCTTGTACACTGTTGGTGGAAATGTAAAATGGTGCAACTGCTATGGAAAACAGTATGAAAGTTCCTCAAAAAATTAAAAATAAAACAGTATGATCCAGCAATTCCACTTCTGGGTATATACTTCAAGAACTGAAAGGAGGGTCTTGTAGAGATATTTGTATACCCATGTTCATAGCAGCATTATTCACAATAGCCAAGAGGTGGAAGCAATCCAAGTGTCCTTTGATGAATGAATGGATATAAACACAGGTGTGGTTGAAAGGGGTCTGTGATGAATAACAAGATACCCACTTCACATTTATCACTCGTTATCATATTCCTAGTTGCTGTTTTTTCCTGAATTGACAATTTGGTACACCCTGGTTCACTTATCTCATTCCCCTTTTCTAGACATTTCTTTCTTAATCAACATACTTCTGAAGCTTTTCTTTGTAACAAATTAAAAAACCCAGATCTTTGCAATTACCATGATTGCTAGAGACATCATGCAGGAAATGGCTCCCCTTAGTTATGTACTGAACGAAAAGTTTGTGGAATGGTTGGGGGCCGCAAATCTTGATATAACTTAACTTTTTTATGTGGTAATATAAGTTAAAACGAGACACTGTAGCAGAAGCACTCCATTGCCTTAAAAGTTGTGAAATGTGAAACAAAATGGGGTCACATGTCTAAGGGCTTTAAACTGGAGCCGGGAAGCCACAAAGCAAATGGGGCTTACACACGTCCTCACTGGGCTGAACGTGAACTTTCAAACTAAGTCAAGACACGAATTTTCTGAGAAATCTGCAATTTGTCACAGTGACAGACTTGTCTCCCTCTAGCTAGCCTTAGCAATCAATTATGTTTAGCCAAGATTAGCTTTCTGCCACCAACTCTACGTAGCATTCTTTGTAATGCAAACCTTCCTCTTTTGCCTTTAAAAGCCCCTGCCTCTTACTCCCTAGTGGGATACCATTTGAGTTGCTACTCTTATCTCTTCTCCCTGAATTGCAATTCTTTGATCCCAAAATAAATGCCTTGATGCCTCTCATTTTGGCTCTTTATTTTTAGGGTTAACAACGTCGAAACCACAGGCTTTGCTGTCATATGGACATGAATTCAAACCTTTGGTTTTGACACTTACTAGCTATATGACTTTGAACGTGTTACCAGGTTAAACTCTCTGAGCCCCAGCTCTACCATTGTGAAAAAGGGATGTAACAAGAGCATCTCTCAAGCAGGGCTGTGAGGATTACATAAAATAACATTTGTAAAGTACCTAGTAGTATCTGGCATATAATTCCTCAGTAAGTGTTATTATAATCATTGCAACAGAACAAAGATCATTTGAAGGATATTTTTTAAAAAATTAGAGCTTTAAGAATATCACTGAGTTTTTACATCAACTCCTAACAGAAAAGACACTGGAATTCTATCACTGAGCGCCCAGCAGTGCCAGAAAATCCTTACAGGGATTTTGCTTTTGTGAAGAAAATATGCTTAAACAGAGAAAAGTATTGCTGAGTTTCTCAGATTAGATAAGGATAAAATGAGAACTGTCTTCCTCTATCCATTTCTTGCATTATCCAAGTTTGGACTCAGTACTCTGCTGGTAGATTTCATTCGAAGAATCGCACACACGAAATTAAGTGCTAATTAAGCCCGCAGTGCCTCGACTAGGCAGTGTCAGAAGAATGGTTTCTGCACAGAAGAATAAAGGTGAGATGCGCCTCTTGGATCTGACAGTAGCCCAGTGGCTACCATCACCAGCTGCACATTAGCATCACCCGGGAAATTTAAAAGCTCCCCAAGCGATTCACAGTTATAGGCAGGCTTTGGAGATGGACCGCTACTGTCTGAGGACCACCTCCCCGCCGTCCCCCCACCCCCTCATAGCATTACACATCTCATATTTACCTGATGCCCAGAATCATCAAACAGTGCACTCACCACAGTCACAACACTTCTGCCTTCCGGGTAACGGTTTTCCACAAGGTACTATTATCCAGAGCAGGCGACCTCCTCAGCACCAGTCGCTCGAGAACCTGAATCTCTCCCCGCATGTGTCCCTCCCTCACAACCACACCCATAAACAGTGACTTATTACCGCCCGCGAGGCCAGGCTGCTTCCCGATGGACCTTCTCCGGTAGCGACATCCAGGCCTGCGCCATCTGCTCCCAGGCCAGATGAGTCCTAGCACAGTTGTCACCTTCATTCCCTTCCAAAACTCGCCGAAATTGCTTTGGGGTCTGGAGGGGAGGAGCAGGTGTTTATGTGCCTTCATCTTCCCTTTGTCACCTCCAGAATTTTGCAGTCTGCTTCTTCTGAGCAAGAACGTGGGCCATGGGTATACCAACTCTTCCCAGACTTAGGTTTCTCGACTTTGCCGAAGTCCCACCTTCATCAGGTTAGAGGCTCCGAAGCCTGGCCTTTCTGGAGCCGCCTAAAGCAGCTGGCCTCCCTGCTTGGGCGCCGGATTCGGGGTGTTGGTTCCCGAGATCGCGGAGGCCCACTTCCAGAAAAACAAGACCGCGAACACTATAGCCTCTGGGGTCGCACGAACGGACAGGGGTTTACCTCCCCCAGCGTCATTTCCAGGGCTACTCTAGGAACCTGGGAGGTTCCTGCGTCTCGGTGGTTGTTTCTAGCTGTTGGTGCTCCACGTGCTGGTCTCTCTTCGCCCTGCTTTGTAGCGGGGCGGGAAGGGTTTAGGTTTGACAGAGAAATTGTTTGAGAAAGCTTCAAAAGTACATATACAAAGATAGAGTAGTATAATGAATCCGATGTACGTGTACATACTTCACACCATCAACAATTATCAACTCATGGCAATCTTATTAATCTATGACCCAACTCTCATTCCTCCGCACAAATTGAAGTAAATCTCTGACGGATGTCATTGATAAATTTAACATAACCTGGACTAAGGAGAAGTGAGTGAGGCACTTGGCTTGGGCACAAAATTTAGGAGGCTGCCAAAAAGCTTAGAAATCGAAACAAATATTTTAAGGTAATTTTTTAAAATCAAAATTAATGCAAAAAATCCATAATGAACACCATTTCAAAATTTTTCATAGAGAAATTATCGACTTTTCCTTTTGCCTCAAACTCCTATATAATTGACATAAGATTAATACATACTTAAGTATCTCTAAAAGATAAGGACCTTTTTAAAGAACATAATCACAATACCATTATTGCTTCTAAAAATGATAACAAAAACAAGATCACCAAGAATCTAATCATTGTTCAAATTTTACCGGTTGTTTTATATATTTTATAAATATATTCTATAATATAAAAAGCATATATGTGATAAATATGTACTCTTTTAAACAATTCATTGGGCAAGTATGGTTCAAGTTTTTTGAATCTATAGTTTCTCTCTCTCTCTTTCTCCTTTTACTGTATTTTTAGAAGAAACTTGAAGTTTTCTACAGTCTAGATTTTGTTTCCCAGGGACTTTCAAGAATGCACACATCAGAAAAGTCCAGTCCCTCGCTCCAGTGTAGGGAAGGAAAAATAATCTTTCTGTCTATCCCTCTAAGCTCCCAGCTCCAGTCCCTGTAACGAATGGCAGAAACAGGAAAAAAACATACAAGTTTATTTATTATAAGTTGTATGTGACATAGGAGCCCTCATAAGGAAATAAACTCCCAAAGAAGCAGCTAGAGTTAAACGTGTAAATAATGAATCAGATAAAGAGCAGTAAAATTATGAAAAAATGACAAAGCAAAGGGACGTGGGCTAGCATGATTAGTTGGATAAAGTGACAGGAGGATAAGGGTTAATTTGTACAGATTTTCCTCTGCCTCAACTTTCCATCATTGATAATAAGGATCTTAATTTCCACTTGGCATGAGGAGGACATTTTTCACACGGGAATTTTCATCCTGAAAAAATGATATCTAATTTGGTTCTCATACCCACTGTATAAATATCCACAGTTTCTTTATTACAAAGATGAGTTTCAGATCCAATGTATTTTTTTTTTCTTTTGATCAAAGGTTAATAAATACATCTCAGTCCCTTAGTGTAGATTTTGCTTTCCTGGAGAGGATTGTAACTGGAACTTTTCCTGGCTTATCCTACACTGACCAGCCATCTTTTGCTGTGGAGTTCATTGTGTCAAAGGAGGCTCACATACGAATGAAAGGACTACATACCACACTCAATATTATTCCATGGTATAGGGTCTTAAAGCTTCTGTTTATGATGAATTTTTCATCATACATAATTGAGAATTAGGAACATGGATTCTTAATGAAGCATTTATTTATATTCACTCATTCACTTTGATATTATAAACTTCTAGGTTTTACAGAACATCTCAAGGAATTTTCAACCCAATCCCTAAATAAAATGACTAAAATATAGTTAAAAGACAATAGCCAAACAAGTGAATAATATGATGCAACCCAAATATATACAAGCACTAGAGAAATAGTATCTGTGTCGTCTCTGAGTGGGGATCATTAAAAGTTGAATAAGATAAAGCTTTTCCTGAAAGTCATTCGAAATCATTAACACAGGGTATACCCTTTCTCCACTTCTCTGGTGCCAGAAGAAGGAGCTTTGACTAGAAAGCTTTCTACTTTCCTTTACAGTTAATTGGTTTCTCTCAAAACAGATCCTCCTGTTCAACAAAAGGTAGTTTTTATATGAGAAGTATTTTTCCACATTTTAAAAAATATTTGTAAAGACCTACTCCATTTTTAGATTATCTGTAAAGCTTGGCTTCTAACCAAAGGCTTTTCTATATCATTATGCTGCTAAAGCTTCTTCATCCTATGTGTTCACCAGCCAGTGTTCACTAAGGACAGAGTTTGCCATAAGCTTATCCTGTCTCTCCTACAGAGTTTCCCAAATGCCTCTCTAAATGGTTATCAAGCTCACAGCCTTGTCTGCGATCACATATAAAGAAGCATTCCAATTTTGTCTGCTAGATATCTCTTCCAGGTAGTTCAATTTTCATAGAAATTTCTTGTTTTGTAGCCAATTCTGCATTCTTGTTCCTTGCTTTCCCACCTGAAGAGTTCGCCATGTAAGTAGTCACCGTCCGCTCTAATAGGGTAACAACCTCCTTCTCCCCCTCCCACAGGCAACATGCATTAGAAGCCCTTTCAAACAATACATGGGCAGGGTTATAAGTCAAATAAGAACCCAGGAGAAGAGGTGGGTGTTAAAGATTGAGAGAAAAAAGTTAGAAATATCTATGGAAAAAATGAACAAGAGGGAGAGAGAAACAGAGTATGATGCCTGGGGTATGAAGCTTATGTGAACAAAAGAAGAACAATAGGAAAGAAGTAGGAAGGGGAAGCTCTCTTAGATAGTGGTAATGGTGGGTAATGCAACCAGGATGGAGTGGTGGGGCAAAAAGAAAATCAAGGAACATGGACAGTGATAAGATATAAAAAGAAAAACAAGGGTCATAATCAGTGGAATGAGTAAAGAGAAAAGATTATTATGTCTGTGGGTAAAATAGGAAAGAAAAGAGAGAAATACAGTATTTGCCAATCAGATAGAAGAGTAAAAGGGTCAGGGTCTGTGAAGGGGTAAACTCTGTAGACTGGTTTCTAATGGGTAAACTCATTGTGCAGTAAGCCAATCAAAAATTCAGGAGTCATTTACAATGTTCCTAATGTCAAGGTCTTCTCTTATACTCCGTTAACCGCCTAAACTCCTTTAAACTTTACTTTGCTTCAAATATGGGCCACGACTTTGATATACTCTTTTTTTGACTCAATCTTCTTGGCCTTTCTCTACTTCTCACTATTTACCTTCATCACAACTGCAGTAGGCAATGTTGATAACTAATCAGCATTCTTAGTTGCAGAAAACAGAATCCACTCTAACTATGTTAAGTCAAAAGGGATTTCTTATGAGTCCACAGAATTTCTTGGAAGCCAGAATCTAGTGTGGATACTATACTGCCAGAAGCACCCAGCCAATCACACTATGAAATTATGTCACTAGAAATCCTACTGCTGCCACTTTCTGTTCCACAAAACCCTAGATTTTCTGTCACAGTAGCTGCAGATAAACTAAAATACCCCCAAAAGCAAGCAGGCGTGAAAGGATTTTAATCTAATATGGAACTGGAGGATCTGAAATGGAGAATCTCACACATGTGGCCTCAGAACGGAACTTAACTGAGAGACTGATTTCCCCTAAATGCCTGATTTGCAGATGACTAAGACTTACCTCCTGACCAACGAACATCCTCCCAGAATCTCTCCCCATCCTCAAGCCAATGAATTTACCACTTGGACTCTGGCCAGACTTCCCCCTCTTTGCCCTCCTTGCCCATAAACACATCTGGCCCCAAACCCTCAATGGACTCTCCTGTAGCTTGCCATAGCATGACTTTCCTGAATTGCAATTCCTCTGCTGTTTCTGAATAAACTCAATTTCTGGGAATTTGAGCTTGCCTCAGTTTACCTCTTTATTTAGGTTGACAAATGCCAGAAGAACTATCCAGCCTTCATCTCAACAACATTCATTTCTCCAAGTCTCACACAAGTGCGCCTGCTCAGCAAAAGCTATGTCACAAAGGGAATCCTAGCAACAAGGGGGTCTGAGAAATTGAGCTTTCACCCATTCGGGCTCCAATGTAGAGGAAGGCACACATTGTACAATGGGGTTGCAGAGGTATAGAGTGAGCCAATCTATATTACTGGTCACAGTTGCTACCTGGTACTCATTATACCTTTTCTCCTTAATATAACAGATTTTGTTCACATTTCCACTACTCATACACAGAAACTAGATAACTCAGGGATTCTACCCTCATTTTAAGGTCCAGGGACAATTCAGAATTAGTCTAAGATAAATACGTAAATCCTGTGCCCTTATAGGTGATTGATTCAAGAATTTAGGTTTAAACCGATAAGCATATGGTATTCCCCTGCTAGGTATTATCAGTTCGGAGGTGGGCAAGGGACCTAAATTGGCATAATCAGACTTTCATGGTTGGGAGGAGAAGTTATGACTTCCATCTGAGTCAAGAGCAAAGAACAGATTGCCCCAGGTACTTCCGGCAGCAATATTAATGATAGCTGTAAGGCTAGACAGCCTGAGGGTAATGCCAACTCCAGAGGGAGGCAGAACAGAGCAGATCACAGAGAAATAGAGTCAGAATCATGATCAAACTCCCATCCTACCTGGGGACTTGCTGTTGAATAAGACATTGTATTCCTTTCCTCAACTTATTAAAATGAGATTTTCCTTTTTTATTTTGCAGCCAATTGATGCATCTTAATACAATAGTCTCAATAGTTCGAAGCTCTCAATTAAATCTGGCAATGTTGAACATCTTTTCATGTGCCTGTTGGCCATCTGTATGTCTTCTTTGGAAAAAAGTCTGCTCATATCCTCTGCCCATTTTTTGATCAGGTTGTTCTTTTTCGTTGTTGTTGAATCATATGAGTTCTTTATATATTTGGAGATTAACCCCTTGTCTGATAAATGATTTGCAAACATTTTCTCCCAGTTGGTGGGTTGTCTTTTCATTTTGTTCCTGGTTTCCTTTGCTTTGCAGAAGCTTTTTAATCTGAGGTAGTCCCTCTTATTTATTTTTTCTTCTGTTTCCCTCCCTGAGTAG